AAAAAAATGAACAAAATAGCATTTAAAAAAAAAGAGAGAGAGAAGAATGAATCAAGTAACATCCAATTAATGGATAAAACCGTATGATCCAATAATTTTTTATACCAATAACGATTTTTTAACGGTACTCAAACATTAATTTCATAAATACTTTAGCTTACAAAACGTTTACAAACTACCATCGAAACGTAAATCAAATCTATCGCGTCTCGATTAAATTTGAGAAAAAAGGAAAAAAAAGAGGAACTAACAAACTACAGTGCTAAAAAAAGGGGAGTCCTGAATGAAGTAACATTCAATAAATAGATAACAACTGGATCGTCCCAACGGAATCGCAGCTCGAGTTTCTGGTCAATCAAAAAAGCAGATGAACAGGGCCGATACAATCGACGCCCGTTTAAAATCAACAGATCGAGACCAGTGCCGCGTACTTCCGAGTACATTGTTTTCCATATTCACCAGAGAATTCTCGCGCGTTGATTGCGGTACAAAAGGTAAACGAAAAGTAAAAGTCGACGAATGAAATTGCACGAAACGAAAGGGAGAGAGAGTACGCAAGCGAATGAAACAAGACTAGTAAAAAAAAAAAAACGCGGGTTCTGGACCAGTAAGCCGACCGATGGTGGTTGTTGTGTCGTTATTTACGGTTATAATTGAAGGGGCCAAGTTTCGATACTACGAGAGAACTTCTCGACTTTGGATTAAGGTATAAAGTCAGCTAACAGTGGTCGAATCGTGAAAGATGCAGAGACTACGAAAACTATACCGATACCTTGCTCCTCCCTAACGAACACTGTGCGAAGGAATCCTCTTAATGTGATTAAACTGCACGTATTCTACCTTATCCTAGCCATAATCGTAATCTGAATTTAAAGCGATGTCTCTATAAGACTTGAATTTCGTAAATACGCGTACTCATTGGTTCTTTATACGCTGATTTTCTTTCGAATGAACTTTAGGCCCGGTGAACTCTTTTCGACTGAAAGGTTCGGTAATTAATCGTAGCGAAAACGGTTTAAATCTAAATCTAAACGAACAGGCTAAAGCTGAAACGCAAACAGGATCAAAAAAGATGATGAGCCTTCATAGATGTACAATCGTATCAACGAAATAGAAATCGAGTTACTTCGATCGCTATCACTTTCTTTTATATAGGGTGTTCAGCATCTGATAATACTTTCAATGCACAGATTATGCAAGTAAGAAATTACAAGAACTGCTTCCCATAAAAGACGTAAAAAAGTAATTCGATTTTGAAGAGCTCGTTAATTTAAACTATTGTTATCAGTTACTCGAAAATCTTTATCCTCTTCCCACTTAACAAGACTAATTAATTAACTCATGAAATTGAATCTTAGATTTTCAGTTATCTGATAATAGAATCACTTTAGCAAATTTTAATATCTACTATTATATCGATTTCGAAACAGAAATTACTTTCCAATAATTATTTTAAATGACCGTCGACATATCTATTGCGTACACCACGACTATTATTTAGTACGATTATTTATTAAAGGACTTATATTACAATTAAATATATGATTCATGTATGTACATAGTCGGAAATTTTTAATTTACTCCTTCAATTAATATCGAATGTCTTTGTATGAATTTCAAAATCTTTATCGGACAAATACTTTAGAAATTAAACAAACATTAATTACTATTGAGCAATAGTGACAGAAGTTAGCGTGTATTCTAAATAAAAAATTACGAAATTTTTAAAAATTCATTCATAATAGTATCTGAAAAATGACTTCTTACTATTTACCATAGATAACGAGGAAATTCGATTAGGAGCGAAGATTTATAATACCTTTAACAGTACTCTCCCATACGTTTATTATTACGCTACTTTCCTTCGTCATAATATCATTGTACTGCTACACGACTTGTTTCTGAGAGTTATTACTTCCTACTCCCATCAGAACGAGGAATTGTAATTTCTTTTCCTCGCAAACAAAGAAAAATTCGATTACAGAGGGTTAACGATATAAAAGCAGCAGCATGGAAATGCATTTCAACGGTGGCGGGAGTGAAAATAACGTGATGCCATTTCGCATTCCGCGAATAGCGAGTTCTCGCGGAAGAAGAGAGATACTGATGACCGGACATCCGTCTATCTTGAGCGTGCACGTATACCTACGCGGCTGGTTACGAAAGGAGAACTTAAACTCGATGGAATGCATGGCGAGAAACCGGCTCTCCTCGTGTGAGAGAACGGCCTGTGAAGAAAAAGAGGCTGAGAATGTTTTTGATATGCGACCATTTTCTGCATGGATTCGAGAAAACCTTGACACGCAGTTTTGTCATTGTGTATATGGAATAGCGATGGAATCGATCAGAACAATTGTCATCGTTGACCTCTTGTATTAAGGTGGAGAATCGACACCTGCCATTCGGGTTATTGTTGCGCAGCGTCGTTCTCTTCATACATTAATTAATTTTTTTGATTCTGCGTAACTATCACGTAATATTATATAAACAGATTGGAACAAAAAGCAATGTGTATATTGAGTACCGAATTTCAGGTTTAACGAACGCAAAACACAGAACACATTAAATTTTTCATTAAGATCAGATATAATAACTTCATTCACAAATGTGTAGTCCTTTTCTGCTCTTATACGAAATGTGATAATTGATTATCAAGGAAATCAAGGAATGTTTAATTTATTAAAATTTTGTATTCATGTAAAAGGATTCATTTTGTATTCAGAAATTTACAAAAATCATTTACAATAATTATAACAAAATTATGAATGAAAAACTTGCACGTTTCGACTTGCACGATGTTCTAATTTAAATCACTCTATTGAAATAATTTTCAGTAAGTTAGAAAGCTATGAGAAGTATACTTGAAATATGAATGTGACTTAAAATAACAAATATGGTAGAAAACATAATACACACAAATGTCAATAGTGAATGAAACAATGATCGAAAAACGCAATGGATTTACATACTAGATATAAAACGTACAAAAAAAATACCTAATCTTAGTCTACATAATTGCAGTTTTTATTACAATATTTAACATAAGAGTCCTGTAACAACTAAAATTATAAACAAAATAATACATCCTAATAATTTGAATAACCTTTTCCAAGTTATTTCTGTCTTTGTTCTGTGCGTATATTTTTAGATTTTAACAAAATGAGAAAATTGTGTAAAATAGAAAATACACATACAGGAAGTATAATTTAACCCTGAACATCTGCTCATGATCTTACTTGATAGTTAATGCTAAAAATAGCCTAAGAACTTCTGTGCAGCATAATACATACTGACGGTTTTAAGTTGACTTTTAATAGATCCATATAGATTTACGTAAGTAATAATCGTGGGATAAGTTGTTCTTTATGATACAAAATGATAAATTAAAAGACATAAAATATTCGTTTCTTTCTATTTTTAGCGTAAATTTCATTACCGAATTTTAATTTCGACTGACTAAATTCGTTTGAATTCAAATCGCAAAAATTCTAATTCTCAAGTGTAAGTGTCTTATTCTATGTACACATTGCTAAACAGTGTTGCTAAAGTGAATCTATGCCATTCTGAAGGAAGATAATTTGCTATATCAATGATTTAAAGCCATAATTTCCAGAATCAAATCTTGTATGAATCAAACATTATCATCCTATAAATAATTCATCAAACATACACCTTAATTATCATCTGGTTTTCAGAACAAGTTTCAAAGCAATGTGTGAAAAACACTACGATCTTCCTTGATTTATGTAATTATTGTGGAAAACGTTTGACAACCGGCTTGTTCGAAAATTCCAAGGACTGAGTCAGTCCCATCGCTATACGCTGCTAAGGTAAGGCCAGGCTCACGCCCATCCGGTCGTCCAATCAGCGACTGCGACGTCATCTCGTACGATGTAACGGAGAGACTCACCCACGTGGTAAGAGCATCGTGTTATTTTAGTATCGCACCACGAGAAAATCTAATTGCACGATCCTGTTCTCAAACGATCATTCTAGAATTTCACGCCATGCGTGTTTCACTCTTTATGCGATCGTAAATACCGTTTTCGAATGAAATTAAGTACAGTTTTTTATTTCACATTATATTTACTCATAAAAATCAAACCATTGACGTTAATAAAATACAAACGCATCGCGACTGCGCGTCACAACATATGCTGTTGATTTTCAATTTGCTGCAGCTATATTTCGTTTAATTGACCAATTAGGCATCACAGAAAAAAAAGAACATACATCAACTTTTTTCTCTGTTAACATCACCCATCGATATTATCATTTCAATTTATAATCGATCTTATAAGTATTTTTAATAAAGAAGTTCAATCCTTTAAATAACGTAGAAACTTGTGAATGAAATACATTGATATCGTTATAAAGAGATAATAAAATCGTCCTCGATGATGAAGTCGTAAATTGGACTATTTACGCGATTGATAAGTTACGCAGGCAGATGTGTCTGATTGAATGAAATCAAGGACACAGTGAACGCTGTGTAGGTCAGTTAATGGTTTAGTCACCAGAGGCAGCGTGTGTAAACAAATTTACGAATTCACACGCAATAGCTCGTACGAAATCTCACAGGCGGCTATTATAATTACACTCGCAAAACACGTCAGAAATAGAGCGAAAATATCTAAAGATAGAACACTAACGCCGCCTCCAATGTGCCCGTCTAACGTTTCGAATCTAGGTATTCGATCATCGAATTTCGATCAGTAAAATGTTTCCTTGGATACGAAAATTATGCCGCCATTACTTTCAATATATCACGCTAGGTCGACTGTTGCGAAAAATCAAATTCTTCAAACATAAATATACACACACCTTTCCCTCAAAATACCACCGGTATTGCATTCAACAGCACGTATAGAGTTTGACTGTTCGATCGAGATTTCGTTGACCGAAACTGAGATAATCTTGTTGTCCGCGATACCATACGTAATGAGTATTTCAGACTTTCTGCTGAGAAATCACACGAAAGATACGTAAAAGTTACTCACGAGAGTAGAACGCAGTGACGAGTAAGGCAAGCCAAGACAGCTGTTTCTCCATAAGTTTTCTCATTTCTAGACTTCTTCGACGACAGTTTGTTTCACAGGTTCTGTTTCACTCAGACGAGGTCGTAGCGAAAGACGCGAATGCAACTCACTCGCACACGAGAGCAAAAGTGTTTTCGAAACGCTAACACACGATAGTGTAGAACGAGCGTGTTTCCTCGAAAGGTTAAATAGAATGTAAAGAACGTGTCACACGCACGTTGTTTCAGTTTCTCCGATACCGTAAAATGTTATTCTTAACTCACGAATACCAGTCAATGAACACGTAATCACAGTACGATCCGTACTTCGCAACCGGTAGTGCACAACTGACTCTGAGAATGCATTTTGGCGGCAGCAAGCTTTAAAGGCGCTCGTTGAGTGCGCGTGCGCGCACCGCTCACGCCACCGGCTTGTTTGGTGGGGTATTGAGACTACTTCTTTCTCTTTCGCTATAGCTCTGCGATGTTTTACCGAACTATGTATGTTAATGCCGGTGTCGTTACTCATTGCAGCTTACAGCTTTCGTAGCAGGCTGTGCAAGCTCATTAATCGAAAGCCTTTTCAGAACAACGACAAAGCAGGACCTTGTGTTCTGCCGAGAATGGAATTTAATTAAGAACATGCTTTCATTGTCGATGGACAATAGTGATGGGTAATTAGCGGATTTAGGTGGAATACCAACACGTCTGGGTGTTTACGTATGCAACGGGTGTCCCTGATAATCGTGATGATACAATATGCATCAGATGAAACGTTACGACCATGGGTATCGATCGCGATAAAGTCCTAATTAATGATTGTTTAATTATAACATTAAGTTTTATATATTTAACCACGTTGTTTCCTGAAAATTGTTGTCATATTATATAATGTAGCGTATAGCATTTATAATTTATTTTTCTCTACTAATTGGACCAATTATTTCACGATACTTATGCTTTATATTTTTGCTATTATGATACTCCATCAAAAAATCATCTATTAAAGAATTATCCATAATTGTCTTTTTAATACTTCGCTTTTACATGCACAAAAAAGAAATCTTTTTACATACCGCATGGTTATAATTACTACGGGAAACGAGTAAATGGGGACTGAAAACTGTAGCTGAAAACTGATTGTTTTTAATTGAATTGTGTATCGATTAAGCCTTTATTGAATTTAATTGAATTATACATACACGTATGCAAATAAATAACTTTGAGTAGAATAGTTTTACTTTTACAAAATGAAATATCGTTTCGTTTCTTGGATCATTTAAAAATAAGAAGAACATCTTCGCGCCTCATTAATGTATTACGTCAAACTCGTTTTTAATGACAATACTCTGTCTTTGTTGTCAATTCCTTTAAAAATAAATTCTTTAGTGTTTTCAATCGTCTGACGTGGATTATACGTCACACAACGCTTTGCGTTAATAATATTTAATTTTAATCTTTATTCTATATCTTTGATCATAAATATTGATGGTCTGTGCCACAACATAAAAATACAAATTAGGACGAAATATATACACTAAAATTACTTAAAAATACCTTAAAATATCTTAAAAGTAACTTAGGCTAAACTATTGCGAGGCATCCAAGGTTTAACGATATCAATTGAGAATTAATCAGTCTTCGATATAAGTACTACCTACTAATTATAAATCATCACCGATGAAGATCCATTTATATTCTGACTAATTGTACCGATGAAATTAAATATTAAAATGCAAATTGGTTTGTTCGTGAAACCAATTAAATTTCATATAATTAAATATTTACCATCACACAAAATATTCTCGAAAAGTAAACTAACTTTCATGTTATTTTAAGATAACGAACTATAAAACGTGACTGATATTAAAGATTATAATAAACACTGAATAGTATTTAATCTTTATAAACAGAACTCAGGTCTTCGTGGATTTATGAAGTTATTCCACAGTTTATTTTAAACCTGTTGAATTATTTGTTTATAAACCAGTGATTAAAATAATTATCTTGGAACCTAAATTTATCACCATCTTAACTTTTATATATTAAAGCACTTTACAACTACTAGACGACATAAATAAACAGAAAATCAACAATAATAGTGTTACGCCACGAGGCTTACCACAGACTGTATTTCTAACCATCGCTCGCGGTCCTACAGTGTCGCAGACAGATCGTCTTATCTACCCGACAAAACATACACAATGTATCGACGAGCGTATAGTTGTCACCAAGTAGCGAGATCTAGAAACGTCGATTTTGTTCCGTTACTTTTTCCACACAAGAGGGTTGTATACGTGATCATAGGTGCGAACGGTGGCGTGACCCGAGCGTAGTGGGTGTCGTTTCCCAGAGAAGACAAAGAAATGATCGAAGGGCAATCAGTCCCTTCTGACGAGTCAAACGTTATACATCGAGAGGTCAGACGAGTAAAATTAAAGTCGCATAGTCTAACGAATTCATTGAGAGATATCGTAAAGTCGGGTCAACCTTCTGTAACATATTTACTGTATTCATTGTTAAACAATTTGTGGCGTGTTCATCATATTATTGTCAAATATACTATTTTAGGTTAACCTGTTAATACAGTGTTAAATTCATCGAACTACCTCTGTTATCTTAATCAAAACAGGGGAACGACTATTTCGCGGTGTCGATTAGCAGAATCGTAGCGAGAACTTACGCCTCTCGCTGACGCGTTTTCCTCGCGACCGCGTCTCTTCGCGAACGGTCGTAACAAATAGATTTATTAAGACTTGATCCTGTGAACTTCCGAAGACCATAGTTTTAAATGCATCATCTTACCAAGTATCGTAAGAGTTTCATACTTTATTAAATTATAGCCTTATTCTTCGTCATAACACGTTTTTATGGCTTTACAAAATATAATTAAATTTGTATAATAATAAACGTAGAATACGTGATCTTCAGGCCTGCGTAATAGTCCTGTATCTAAGATTTGTTGGATTTATTACAGACATATCTGTATCGCGTCACTACTATGATAACACTAACTCTGGGTATCAATCGCATTAATCGCATTATCGACTGTTCGACTACCGATTATCTAAATTATGATCTACACTCTACATTAAAAGATTTCCATTATTTACATTTGGGAAGTACGTGTAGCAAAATCAGTAAGTGAATCAATGCACTGTGGCGAGTACGTTACTAGATCCGATAGGACGAAGATTCCTAACAATTGCGCGATAACAGGATTTCCCCTATAAGTAGATTATGTTTGCGATGAAAACGAGAGTTTGTTGTACTGATTTCAGTACAACAGTTCATATACAGTGTCGAAAGAAAATCCATTTCATTTTCCATTAAAAACACTGATTATATAATTCTTTCGTATAACAAGAAAGCTGAATGAATGAATATTTTCAGTGATAGAGAAATATTTTTCCTATAAAATTGAAAGAATTCCGAAAAAAAAATAATTGCTAACTGATATAATTTTTATGTCTACAGCGCTCTTTTTTTGGAAAGTGACAATTTTATATAAATATTCATATGTGTTATAAACAAATTTCGTTTTGAGATTACCACATGACATATATGTATGTACATAATATAACATTATTGATGATGATCAGACTTGACTCATATGATAAATAGTACGAAGAAGAAGATGGAAGTGTATATAATAATATATCATAAATATGACATGACGTTCAATAATATGTCAAAATAATCCAAATTTCAGATTGTAATACTTAATTTTTAAATAAATGATTTTTAAAGCATGAAGGTGCGTCAAAAATGCAAGCAGAAGTATAAAACGTAATTGCAACCGCTTCATTTTGTTTCATAATGCATTTTTCTATTTATAATCATTTTGAAGTTATTTTAGTCCCAGTTGCACGGTACAGCTTGATATGCTTGGTTTGAATAAACAAGTTAGACTTCAGACAGTTATCTATTATAATCTATAATAAAGGCATGTTCGAAATTGATAGATATGATTAAATAACGACTATATTCTTCCACATCAGAGAAATTCATACATCAGGATACACTTGAAAATTTTCTATTGCTTATTCAATATGTCAATTTGGAATAATTGCTTAGCCAACCAAATTTCATTCCTATTTAGATCGTAGAAATGATACTTCTATAGATGCATTAAAAGTGATAGTGAAATGCCGTCGTTCCAATGAAACTAGATTGGAGATTAAGATATGTGTGTTCTAGAAAAAGTAAACTTACCGTCGTTTGATATGCGTGTGAGGTTAATAAAATTAACAATGATGAATGGATAAAGTTACCCTCTGATAAACGTTTTAAAACGTAGTATGAAATGTAAATGATTACTTAATTATTATTTTCGAAGGAATAATCTAGTTTTTGTTTGTAAATGTTACAAGTCAATCTTTAACATACATATAAGAAGCAATCAGATTTATTTGAACAACTAAAAATGAAACATTCATTTAAACGATGCTTCTTTTATTAATTAATCTTCCTTTTTAACAAATTATGCTTTAACAGATGAATTTCAGAAAAGGATTTACGAATTAATGAATTAAGCTATATAAAATGATACTTTTGGAGTTATTATGTTACGTTATGTAGATGTTACAAGAGCTAGCTAATGACGAGATCACGAAACATACACATGTTCAGGTCTGCTTCGTTTGTACTTTTTGTGCCATTACGGCAAAGTACCGGAAAATTTACGATTTTCAGCAGTGAAAATAATCCTGTGCAACCATTTGTTCGAAATAACATAAATAACGACGAGAGAAAACACGCTGCAAAAATACTTATTTCAGAAATGCTTTTATATTTTTTCGTTTTATAAAAATATAATTCTCATTATCATAAAAACTTTTATTGTCCTTCGTGTAACAAGGATACTTTACTTTTACAAGGTACAACAATACTGTACCTTTTAACGTAAGAAAATATTATAGAAGAAATTTTCTGAAATAATTTCCATTAAATCTTTTATCTTTATCGATAGGATAACGATATTTCTTCATTTCTTGTTTTCCTCGTCGATCCTTTCAAAATAATACGTTTTCATTAAACAGATTACGATCGGTTGCGGTTAACGATACAAAAAAGGGAGGAATGTTAACACTCAATCTACAATTCAAATCGTACACGGTCGAGGACATTTAAATACCGAAAAGAATAAAAGAAGTACGTAAATAACTTTATTTTATTAATTATAGAAAGAAGAAAGTCTTTTTAATCTCAAGTTTAATCTCAAATGCAATGACATGTCAATTATCAGGTTGTAAGATAATATTCGTCTCACTCCTCATCGGTTGAATGTGTGAGATCCACTTCTCAATTCCTTAGAAATTTCACATCCACGCATGTTATATATATCGTTTTAAAAATTAC